ACGCAATCTTTGTAATCTTCGATTTGTTTTAGAGCAATATAATTTGTTTTAACTAACAGCTGGTTAAATATAAACTATGGAACTATGAGGTTATTTTATTTACTCTTATTTTGTCATTGATTATAGGAAATAAGTAAGATTAGTAGAGATAATTAGACCACAGTTTAAAATAGTTTAGACCTAAATTAATTAAACTACAGTACAAATCGAGGCTTTGTACTCGAGTCTTAATAAAAAAAGGATAAATGCAAATTATTTTACTGCTCCACTTTTCAAGGAAAGATTAGAAAAGTAACAATGTTTACACGTTTTAATTCTTCATGGTAGCTTTTTGTTTACAATTAATGTTTGTCTGCTTTAACTTTGTTTGGATTTGGCCTGGAAATATTGATGTCATAAAAAGAAGATCAAGAATAATCAGGAATCACAATTTTAAATTACCACCACAACCTCAGCCGGGTTTTATACAAAGATGGATGACATAGATTAAACACAACGTCAACATTGACCTAGGATACTGCAATTAGACAAACCATCCTTTTATGAAATCGTGTTCAGTTGTGGTTACGTTTGGGGGTGCCTATATCAGCGCCCCCAAACGTGAAAATATCACTTTTATTTCAACTATGAATATATTGTAGTTTAAATTAAATAATATGGGAAATTACTATGCACATTTATTCAATGAGGGTGGGTAATTATCAAGGATAGAACTGATAACGGTATGGATAATAAACATTGACAATTACGTCATTAGCTTTACTAGCGTGTTTACTTTTTATATTCCTGCTACTATGTGACCAATTCTTTTTTTCAAATGAATGTTATTTGAACCAAACAGCTGTTTCAAAACAAACTGTTATTGTTTTTACTTTTCTTTGTTTACACTTATTTATTTAGCAATTAATGCAGTAAAATTGATATAAAGGATAGGTGTGACGATTAGTTTTGATGTTATGACACCAAAATTAAATTATGTGTACTGTGAATTTTATTGGATATTATCGTTTTATTTTGGGTCGTTTCTATTCAGACCTACTGGAAATTGTGTATAGTAGTTGTATTGTGGTGATAATAATTATGGAAGAGGCAGTGGTATGCTATGGGAAGGTGGTATCGTTGACTAGGTCTATACACTTCTCAATTGACTATTACTCTCTCTACTGTAGGCTACTGCTTTTCACATCATAAAAATTGCAGAATTGATGTTTTATTGTAAAATTATCGGATTTAAAATGCATATCGTATAGGCCTATGATGGAATAAAAATTTGGTCACACAACATTTGTTTACAAGATGATTTGTCACATTAAAACTGCAAGAAACTTTGTCTTTATATGTGTAATCTAGCTGATCTGAATTGTACACGGTTTTAACTGACTACTGAATTCCCGTACGTAGGACGGGCTAACAGCTCGTATAATTTTAAAACCATAAATTTAACAAATAATACAAAATAAGAAGACAGTGACTCATCGATCAACATTTTGTAAATAAAAAAACGAATTGCAGTTGTCTATTTGTGAGTCCTTTCTTCACCCTGTCTTCAGCAGCTCCATATGATACATTGCTAGCCACCTCGGCGGTTCTACTGTCATATGATTAATATCTACCTCTATCAGCTGTTTGTAGAACTGGGGCACAAGACATATCAGAGATCCTCTTTTTACTTAAGAATAACAATTATTTATGATTAAGTAATATAACCTAGTTTGTTTCACGGAAATCGAGTTCTAAACACGAAAACTTAAGAAAATAACTTAACTAATGATGTTTGAGCTGGTATCACTTACTAGGTAATAATGCTCAGAATCACAGTTTTGTTAACAAAAATTGTTCATGTTTAATAATTTGTTTACATTCATAATAGAGATTTACCATTTTTAACCCTACAAAGTGGATTATTAGGTCATGTATTGTCATGAAATTGTACAACTTTCAAACTGTGAGGTCGAGTTATATTGAGTTATATGAAAGCAAAGAAAAGCTCCAACTTTAGCATCTCTTATTTTATATGTTTGCTGAAAGTTAAGCTCGTATGAATTTGTATTTTCTATTGAAGAAATTTGAGAATATTTTATTTGCCTGATATATAGGCTGGCGTATATTTTTTATTCAACAGTTATGATTATATTCAAAATGTTATTTTTTATTTTTTTAAGAAGTTGTTGTACAAAGCTTTTAAGTTCAAACATGTTTATGCTTACCAATAATACCAACTGCAATCTGCCAACATTATGTATTAGAGATGCTTGCTGACAAATCTGTCCGTGCATACCTTTAATTTAAGACCAAAATTGTGAAATTAAGTCGAGTAGAAGAGCCAAACCGACTCGGAAAATAAAACCCAATAATTATTATAATACATATATATTCTGTATATTTTAAACTCCGTCATTTTGATTTTTCACGATAATGTTTGATTCTAGAGCTCGAAAGGGACTACATACAACTAAAGGGAAGGGTTATAGTAATTTTCATCGTTGAAAATGACAGGTAGTATTTAATACCTTTGATTGATTAAAAATCTATTTAAATACAGAAACATCATAAGCAGGCCTTATACTCTTTATATGGTTTACAAATTATTGTTGCAATAGAATACTATCACAATAATTTCTAATAAAATTAAACTTGTTTTAAAACTTGTGAATACAAGTTCCGAAGAATGTTCATATATTGTAATTTATCTGCATTATTTTTTAAGTATTAGCATAGTTTAAAGGAGTATACAGCTACCCTTTTAATATATGGTATTAGAATGATATGTTGTGCAACGATAAGTAACATCCTGCATTAATCAAAAAGTTGGACTACTAGTGCGGTTATACAGGAAGAGGGTCGTAACTTACTATCAGCCGAACTTCCGTAAACAATTAGGAGTCGTAAACATCCCTCCTTACATCTCCCAGGATTGTAACATACGACTATGAGTAATTCTTAATATGTCACACATGTAAGGCTATGGCTATGTCCATTAGCTTCAACAGTTGTATAAGACCACCTCAAATTAAATTAATGGTTAGAAAAATGTGTGAGAAACGTTTTAAAGATGATATATTATCAAACATTAACTCAGCCAGTGACAGATCGTGGCCGAAATTTGACAAATGGCGTCGCTGTTGGCAGCCCTGGTCTTCCCTCTGAGAACATGAGTCAATTAGAGAAACCATCAGTGATGTCATCAAACTTGTGGAGAACTGACAAGCCACTACAAGATGCATTAATAATCCAACTCTTAAAGATTTACTTATTTTGTAAATTGTCGAGTTCCTATCCGATTGGCATATTTAATTAAAACGGAGTTTAGAAGGTTAGGAATTAGGCTGCTGTATTGAGAATAGCAATGTTTGGAAAACAAGGAACCTTAGGAGAAAACAGTATGCAAAAAGGACTCTTTTCTTCTCTCTTCTGCCTTAATTGAGTTGATTGTATTGAACAGAATCGGTGAAGTCAAAAGCATTATATTTACTATTCATTTTATAGGTATTCGAGTGGTCATACAATTGTTTATCTTCAAATCTAAAGGTTGCTGGTTCTAAATAAAAAATACAATTAAACCCCAGTCATGAATGTTTTTATTTACAAGTTGTTGTCATTTATTATTAAATTTGAACAATTTTTTTCGTAGAGCTTTATAGTAAATTATCGATTTTTAACTACGGAAATTTTTGTTTTGTAACGATTAAAATATGAGCCACAGTAAAATATTAATTTACATTAACACGTTTTATTATTAAAGGATAACACATAGGAACACTGGTTTTGGAAAAAAAGGTAATTAAGACTTTATTTCCCAAAACAAAGTAGTCAAAAACTATGTTATTACAACATATCTTAGTGTTCCATTGTTTGATCAATAAGTTTCACACAATTAACGGAACTAAACGTTCTTAGCACAGAAGATGACACACAAATCCTATTAGTTATTCCTGTACTGTTTCATTTGCTGTTAGTTAGCGGCTTAGGTCTTTTTCATTAAAAAGTAGCACCCGTTGATTGAGCAAGGTCCAGCCAGGTTTTCGTTACTTCAAGGACTCATCAGAACCATCTTACACTTAATTTCTCAAAATGTATAGAATCAAAATGGTATTACACTCTAAATTTTACAAATTAGTTTCTTAAAAAAAATCTTTAAAAAAATATCTAAAGTACGAATATTTACTCGATTTGTTAACTGAGCTGCAGATTTGGCATTTATTTTGACGGTTGAAAAGATGTTCGATTGAAGATTATTGCTTCACCTATAAATGATTAATCAAGACTTTTCAAGTACAGTAAAAAAAACTCAAGTTTGAGGAATCCCTTTTAATTTTTAACGAAAATTAAGTTTTGTGTAACTTTTGCTGTATTGGTTACAGAAGCAGTAAGATATTTTTGACAACTCTAACGTTTTCTAACCAAAGATTTGTCCACTTAGTTTTTGTTGTATTAATAGGTGATTTAAATCCTGGGTATGCTACCTGAAATTGTTCCCAAACTTTCAGGAATGTTTACAAATACGTATTTCCAATTAATAGACCTAACAGTTGCATTGATTTGACTTGCAAATGAAAAATTAAACACGAATCAGCTACATTACTTGTTGGTCTCAATGTAAGGAAAAATGTTTTTTTTATGTTTACATTGTTACTAACTTAATAATTTACGTTTGAACTACTCCAGAAATTAACCAATTACAAACAGAATAGCTGTGGTAAAATATTAAAGCAAAACTGTTGACATTAAAAAATAAACGAGTTAAAATATCAAAGAACCCCATCTGGTGCTAGATCAAACATTTTGATAAATTACCCAATTTGCTGCCCTTTCTCTTGTCTCTCATTTACATTCGCCCACCCTTTCACGCCTAATATTCTTTCATCCGGGACTACTCTAAGAAATTTATGATTCACAGCAAACTCACTTTTATAAACAAAGGGGATTTTCAAATTCGTAAAGTGTTTTGATTTTATATATTCTATTTTAAATGTTGTAGTAAAATGTTTGTTCTGTTTCAGGGATCTCTCGACGAACAACATCACGGAACTGAATGAGATGAGCTTTTCTGACCTGTTGGACCTTGAAGAACTGTGAGTTTCTATAATTTGTAGTTGTACTTGATAAGTTTAAATTACTATCAGAACCATACCAGATCGAAATATTGTCAGGATGAAATTATACATGGCCAACATAACTCAATAACAATACAGTTATCGTTTGATAAATAGTTACTGTACGAGTGTAAAAATTTCAAGTAGAGTTTGAATTTTTTTTATCAGTAGATTTTTACATTTTAAAATCCATACTGTTTTTGTATTAATTTATAATGTATCAAAAACGTCGTACTTACACCAGATAATGAAAATAATTTACTTCATTCAGTTTTATTAAATAACAATACTAAAATACAACAATTATGTAAAACAACATTTAAGGGCTTAATCTTTAAAATGTAAACGAATTTTTTTAAATACTTCTTTTCAGTGTGAAACATTTGTGCGACTTTATGTAAAACTATGCTGTCTTTCTGGAAAATAACATTACATCAGTAGATTTAAAAAATATGAGGATAAACTTATCTTCCAACATAGGGCTATTGTTTAGTTAGATCGTATTCCAAATAATTTATTGTAACAATTATTCGGAATCATTTTATAATTTACTACTTCCTGACTTACAAATATAATTGGGTCACAACAAAATATATCTGGAGAAGATCAGATAAGAAGGACTTGAGCTCTTTATAACCTGGACTGCAAACTGCACCGGAGTGTTCAATGTTATCTTGCACCCTAAAATACAAAAGTAAATTCTTTGTATTCTTGGAGAAGAGACAAAATTTCAAAAGTATTTCCATTGGTTAAATTACAGTCTGTATTTACTTTATATTTGTCGAATAGTTTAATACAAATTAGTTATTAAATTCCATTCATAGATTTTGAGTAGCGATGAAAGAATGTGTTGCAATGGTTATAATACATTCCGTTCACTCTAAATTAAAATATTAATTAGTACAAATATACCGACTATATTTAAGTAATAGATAAAAAAAAAACTACCAAAACGTATGTCGGTTTTATTAGTTTCCAATTACAAAAATAACGAAGATGCTTTTTATCATAGTTCTAATAGTGGCCACTGAATCTACGACTACTGGTTAATTTTTTAGCTCAATCGTAGTTTTTACTGGTTTACCACTTGTTACATGAAACTATGTATGTTAATAAAAAATATTAAAAAAAAATTGTTGGCGTCCCTAACTAGAAAACTCTTGACTCAATTACACCTGTTAGAAAACCCAACTTGTCAGTTAGCTGTAATTTGTATGTCAGCAGGTGAAGGTTGCCGTTAGATAGTAAAGATACTATAGCTTAAATATTTTACACATGAAGGAAAAAACTTTGAAAAATATGGTTAAAAGTAGTATGCACAAAATGATAGACAAATTATTTCTCAATTTATTTTTTAACAAATAAACCTTCAAAGGGGCAACAAAATTGTTTGAAAAGTTTTGATTAGGTTTTATAAAATCTGAAAATAAGTAGGTTGCAGATCTCGAGTTTAAGAACCATCAGATAAAGTATTTTACAACCTGTACTGTAAGAACACAACTTGTGTTATCTGGTATCTTGCCAGTTCTTTCCGTATTACAAGGTATACTATACAGTGTAACATAATATGTACTATCTTATGAACTATCGTAAGTTTTTGTTTTGATAAATAACAGAACAGCGTTGACTTTCGTATCAGAGTGTAATTTAATGTTTTCAAACGTATTTTTTTATGTGACCTTTCCTCGTCTACATAAATTAGTACACCATGACTTTATGCTTTGATAATAATTTTCAAGAGTTAGTAATATTTATTAATTTATATACGATAGTCGCAAATCATATTTTTAATCGGTGGTCGATGATCCACATACCTAGGAATAGCATAGGACTTCACTTCACTAGCATAGGACACCCGTTGGATGTCCAAGGTTTTGAGGTGAAGTTTTCAGAAGTAAATATTGATTGGTCTCCACGGAAGCATGAGAAAATTTACATTTTAGCGAATTTCCCTATAGGGAAGTAGCTATTACCGTAGGTGGCACGGTAAGACCTAGACCCGGGACCGATTTACTTTTTCATTTTGATGTCCCCAGAGGCCAAAAACACCATTCGTTCAAATTTGTGTATATATATATATATATAGACTTATATATATATAGACTTATATATATATATAGACTTATATATATATATACTTATATATATAATATATATATATATATTATATATACTTATATATATAATATATATATATATATATACGTCCGTGAACACGATAACTTGAGTCATTTTTGTCCGATTTTGATGAAATTTGGTTTAAAGGTGTAAAGCGGGATAAACTTAAATGAGTTCGCGAACCATCACGATCGGACCATGGGAACGGGGCTTTACGGGGGGTTTTATGGGGTAAAAATTGGTTTTTCTCACTTTTGACCCTCAAAACACAAAATTTCCCGATTTTTCTTTAGACTTTTTAAAGAGCTTAAAAAAACAAATCATTTAGTACATAAAAGTATTTTTGTTCGATTATTAGTAATGGAGAAAATTAAAAAAATTGTAAATTTAAAATTCCCATGTTATTCTTACGGAGAATATTGTCAAATGTTGTAGTTTGCTTGTTTATGGATATATTTTGATCAAACTTGGCAAATTTATTTATTTTGTACTAAGCTATCAATATTTTACTCAAAAACACACTTTATTAGTTTCCTTGTAGCAGCAAACCTAGGTACTCGTTAAACCTAATGTTATTAAAATATATTTAACTGAAAATCAATTCAGACAAATGGAAATTCGCTTAGTCGGCAGGGTTGCTGCGGCGGGGGTATTTTACCTTTGCATTGACATTTCAAAGTAAACAGTAAGAACTGTTAAATGCTAATTTCACAATTTCAGACAGCTGATCCAAACAAATAAAATAAAATATTTTTCGTCTTACTGCAGCAAAAACAGCCTTATTTAATGCATGCGTTCCGAGTCTAAAGTAACATTTTTACTCTCCATGGAGTAAAAATCATTTCCAGTCCCTAGAGAATTAAAATCAGCTGTTGTAAACTGTTGTAAATTTTGATTGTGGCAATCGTATCGATCGAAACTATCGATTGATTTATTAGGTAAGGTGACTATTGTTGTCGATCGGTCGTAATATCATTGGTATACTGTAACACAATCGTAATAGATGAAATTATTGAATCATTTACTAAACAGGTGCTTATTTGCATTAGCAGAATTGAAAACAAGCTGGAAATTGTTTTGAGAGGTTATCTTTATAAAAAAATTACTTCGTTTTCCAGCTTAGTTTGCAATATTGTAATGATGCAATATGACGAAAAATATAGTTCACTACACGGGCAAAATGTCTTTTTAACCCTCACTTATTTTCCGACCTCGGCTTCGCCTCGATGTGAAAGTTAACCCGGGTCAAAAAGAGTGACTTTAGGCCCTAGTGATATGATAATATACTATTATACTACTATGTGATAGTTTTATTCATGTCATTGATTATGAAAATTAAGAAAGATCCTATAACCGTAAGTTATGAAAGTTATGTTATTGATATATTTTTATGTAAACAGTATTAAAACACAGTAATAACAATGTAGGTCACACTTTTTTGTAAACGTTTGGAGGCTTTTTGTTTATAAATTCAATCTACTTAACAAGTGTTTGGATTAGGTGGTATAGTACATCTTTCCGTTGCGAAGCATGGGTACAGCAGCTAGTCAATTATAAAATAATTACTGTTATCTATATACGTATCATATTATTGGAGCTTTGAAAGTATTTTCACTATAAAACTAATGCATTTTTTAATTGTCAACACAATATGGCAAATTAAAAAGCAGGTAACACAAAAGCAGAAAGGGAAAATCTGTCCAAACCGATAACATTTTTGAAAATGTAGCGGGAATTAAACCACCCCCCTCGTCCGACACTAACCACTAGGCTACCAAACCCATGATAACATAACATTTACAATTTACAAAATTTATTCAGTTTAGGTTTCAGAATTGGTATCTTCATCTTATAGGCTACTCCGTACGTTCATAAAGTTAAAATTACAAATAAGTAGGAACAACTTACTTGCTTAAAACCGTAAAATAAATAAAGACCATCAGAAGGACCGTATCTGTGATTGAATTTAAGATAGAAAGCGTTAGGGTCGAAGAGAATGTCTTATATTCTAGGAGCAGAGGCGTAATTGTTATTCTGTGGGCTCAACAGCGTTGAACATAACAATAAAAGCTGGCGAAACTGTCGTCTGACAATGGACCACACTCTTGCCCTTCGTGAAAATGAAAAACTATTATTTTTATATCATTTGAGAAAGAGTGGACGTATTTACAATATACTTTGGACGATTCGCATACAGTTAGTTGTTTTAGTGTCGAAATACTGTTCACTGTTATGCTATTTTCCAAAGTTGACTTTGATAGTAAAATATAGGTAAATAATCTTTATATTAAATTTACAGTGTTAATCTTATAGATCCTTTTAGATCGATTCAGGTAACATCTTTACTCTAAGTTTTCTAAATGTTCCTAAATAAAATTCCTAAATGAATTTGTGTGCAGGCGTGTGGCAATAGACGTGTAATCAATTTTGTTTAAACAATCCATATATCAGAATATTTGACCTGAAGTTTGCGGTTGCCTTTTAGATAGTAACATTATATGTTAGAATGTTGTATACAATTTATAGTAGATAGACAATAGATGGATTGAATGTATTTCTTTTTATGACTTTCTTTTTTAAGAAGAAGAAGAGAAAAAAAATGTGTGATGAAATACAATAGGCATTCATACGTTTTAATCCATTTTTAACAGTCCAATCGTCAAAATCTGTCTGAGACTAATTATCACTAATAATCGAAACAAAGAGGAATTATTGTTATCATAGGCTACATGTCATCAATTTAAAGGGATAAATTATCTATCTATCTATATATTAATAGGCAAGCATGTTTCTTTAAAACCTTTTTTCTCAGCTCGTGTGCATCGTAGGGAAAATCTACGCAAACCGTTAGAAAGCTATTT